CAGGAAACAAAGACCACGAGAGAATGCAACACGCTCCTGGCTCTGGGCCAGGCCAGCCTCATCTCCTTTGCTTTGTCAAGTGTGTCTTTCTGTCTGCCTTCATTACTTGCTGGGCGCCTCTGTTTTAACTAATAGGAGGGAGCGAGTGTATATTTGTGTGTGTGTGTGCGTGTGCGTGCGCGTGCGTGTGCGTGCACGCGCACGCACACACCCAGCCTCCCTGAGCGCTGCTCTTCTGGGGGCAGGAGGTAACAAGGGGACCGGCTACAGGTCCCCACTTATCCCTTCCCAGAACCCCTTGACTTTGAAGCCAACACCTGGAATTTTTGTCCTGTGTTTGATTTTCCCAAAGCCAAGTCCAGAGGCAGCCGAGGGCCGCCTCACTGTCACACAGTGGGCTGAAGGCAAAGCTGGCAGTGAGGCCAGTTCCCTACCGTCCGCAGCACTGACGGCACTGAGCTGCAGGCGAGGTTCCGGGGCCTCGAGCTGCTGCCCCCGCCTGGAGCTGCCCCTCTTCTACACCCGCCCCGCCACCTCACCTGGGGAATTCCTCTCGGTGACACTAAGGAAGGCCTTCGGGGAAGCAACAGAGAATTTCTTGAAAAGGGAACCGAGTTTAAGAGCTCTGGAGACCAACAGCAGCCAGAAGAGCCCCAGGGCCTGGGGAGGGGGCTTGGGGGATCACGCAGGTCCAGGGCAGGCAGCCTAATAAGCCCCCCAAATAAGCTGCTGAATCAGAGCCTGGGGAGCCGCCACCCCACATGCAGCGGGTTCGAGTGCCTTTCAGGTAGGAGGCCCTTTCATACCTGGGAAAACCCCTCACCCTGGTTTCTGCGGCGCCTCCTTAGGTCCCCCCAACCCCCAGTGTCAAGCTGAGGTCATGGGCGCCAAGGTCCCAAGTTCTAAACAGGATTTCTTCCCAAGCCCTCAGTCACTCAACTGCAGACGACATTGAGAGTCCCCAGTGTGGGAGGGGGACACCGAGGCCAAGGGGAGGGTTTCTTCTAAGGCTGGCTCACTCGGGCGCCACGCTGGCTCTCCCAGCCCAGCCCCGGGTTCCGTGCTGCCCTACCAAGGCCCTGCAGTGGGACTGCTGTGGTCCCGGCTCCAAGGCCCAGGCCCGATCCATCTTCCCAGCCAGAGACTCACTGCGACGACAGGACAAGGCTGGGCGGCCACGGCATTGGCCTCTGATCTCCCCTGGCCGAGTGTTTGTCAGGAGGACGAGGAAGGATGAACGCTTGGCAAGGAGCGGGTCACTGCTGCCCGGAGGCCCTGCTGAATTGCAGTTCAGACCTCAGCTGCCTGGGGCCGCGGGTCAACAGGGAGGCCATTAATCTCTCCAGCAGGGATGAGTGGGAGGAGGGCCAGGGGGAAGGCTCGGCACCCGCCTCTGCCCTGGGCCCCTCTTCAGCTCAGCGCGCCCACTCCCTTGGGTGAGATAGGACCAGTGGGGTTGCTGCGGGCGGCGGTGGGGGGGGGTCTTGGGGCCGCCCTCTCCTCGCCCACCTCTCTCTGGGTCCTGCTCATGACGCTGATTAACTCAAACTATGTGGGTGAAGGTCTCATGATCACCCTAAGGTGAGAAAGATGTGCAGATCACAGAGGGTCTCTCCCTTCCCGGAGGAGTGAGGGCTCGAGATCCCACAGCCAAGAATTATCCCAGAGCAGGGCAAGTGATACACCTGAGGGGTGTGCAGACAGAATGAGAAGAGCTCGGGGCTTTCCTGGGAAACCAGAGCCCCTGGCAGACCGGGAGCCCCCTCCTCCCAGCAAAGGTTCCACCGGCCCTTAGACTGAGTTGAAAGCCTGTCTGAAAGGGATTTGGAGTAAGACACATGCTCCATCTGGTGGTGGCAAATGGAATTGCACCCCCTCAGACTAAGGCTGCTTTTGTTGCTGTTGTGTGATTAAAAGTTAATTCATTCAATCACTTCCCAGCCTTGGTTGTTATTTGTGACTTAATCTGTGTATGAATTGTGGAACATCCCAAAGTAAAGTGAAAGTTCAGTAGCTCCCAGTCAACGTGACCTTAATGGAGTGGGAAGGGAAAGTGTTGATGAGGGCTCTGAATGTCACCTGGATCTGTGGTTTCCAGCACTGGCTGCTCTCCTGGGAGCTGGTTAAGCATCACCTGGCATGGGCCCACCCCAAGGTTAATATTTGATAGATCTGGAGGGGATGCTGGGTAGCTAGTGCTTTGAACAGCACCCCAGGTTCTGCAGGGTGACAGTCTGGAACCCGGTGGAGCCTCACGGTTCACAAGGACAGAGGGCTTGCAGCAGGGGCAGAGGCCGAAATGACTCACTCAGGACCATTTCCCTCCAAAGCAGCTGGAATTGCCCTCTGGGTTGGCAGCTCAGGGCCTGTGTATGGAACCTTCTAGAAATGTGGCTCCTCTCCAAGGCACTTACTTCTCCTCAGGCAGGCCGCAGGCCTGGAATACCCCTCTTCTCATTCACCTTTGCTGCTACACCCAAGAAGCTTCAGGAGCCCCCCTCCTCCCAAAAGCCCCGCTGGCTGGACCTGCCCCATTCCCGTTCATTTCTCCCACTGCTGTGGATGGCTCCAGTGTCTTGTGTATGGAAATACTGAATTCTGTTTAAGGGTTTGGCCTCTCAGGATTTATTTGTCGCGTGTGAGCCCACATTCGGAGCAGAGGGTCTCACAGAGACCTTGGCTCTGAGTTGTAAGAATCAGGCTTTTCCCTCTGTGTCTCCCTGAAGCTTCCCCTCCCAACCCGCGGGCTCAGTGAGAAGGACTCTGAAACGGGGGGGGGGGGGGGGG